ATAAAAAAAGAATATTTTCGCGAGAAACAAAAATTAAACTACTTCAAAAATGATATTGTTTATTGTGGTTTTAAAGCAATCACAATGAAATATGCTGTAGTGTTAATATCATGTGATTGCTAAAATACTTCATGTTTAAAAGTTACTGATAATTCTATATTTTTGTACAATGGATTAACCTCAATTGGTGGTTATGAAGCAAATATTCATATGGTCCGATTTTCAATGTTAGCAGAAACAATAATTTTTTAAAACTAACTAGACAAATTAAAACATCTCAATGGTTATGAAATAGACCTTTTAATTCAAATGATCCTTTTTTAGCTTTGTGCTTTATTTGCTAATCCCATAACAAGATGTTATTTAGATATTTATGGGAATTCATGGTTAAACAAGCGATTATCTGCGTGTGATTTTTTTGGAATGAATTTATAATTTTTAAATAAAGATTTTGATTATAGACCCAATTAAACTACTGACCTACTTATGGTAACCTCTGTTTCTGGGATGCAGCTGTCATTAGCAAAATGAAGCGGAAGTTATAACAATATTGCCGTCTAGGATAACCAAGGACAGTCAAACTCAGGACATAATATATAATTATTAATGTATAATAGAGTTGGTGAACACTTAAAACACAAGCTATTGCATTGTTTTAATTGTATGATAATGTTGCCGTAGGTATCGACTTGAATTATGTGCCTTGTGTTGTTACACTTGTTTTCTGGAAAGACTAGCGATATTAGGCGGACCACGATGATCAAGATCGATCAAATATTGTTGTAAGAACCTTAGAATAATTTTATCTTAAATAATTAATATTCTAGTTAATTACTGATTACTGACTTTCTATAATTTCAATTCTGCAAATCTCGTAGCCCACCGCAATTCCAGCTTTTTGTAATTTATTATAAATAAATAAATTTATAGAATAAATTACCGGCAGACCTCGAAAACCACCCCACCCAGTGTATTGGCAGTCCGGGGTCAGACCTTCGGTCCCTAGTCAGTTCCTGAAACCAAACCCATCCACACCTTCGCTCATTCTTAAATAATTCTTTTTTATTTACACACCTAATTAGTAATAATAAATTATATAATTTTTGTAATTATTATTTATTACGATATTATAAGCTTGGAAGTATTTCTTCTTCTTCTTATTTATTATTCTTTATTTATATAATGAATGTGTTTGGGATCTGGTGTCAGGTCAATGGCTAGGAGGTGGTTTCTGTTGAAATGTAGGTCCAGTAATATTTTCCCATCGTTCATTATTAATAACATTAAATCGATATTCCACTGTGTTGAAGGGGGTGATTGCCCGTTAAACTCTGAAAAAGATTTGTTAAACCTTAAAAAGTGCGACTGGAAATTGAAAATGTTGGAAAATCAAATCGAACGGTGTAACGTTATCATTAGGAACAAACTGCCAGATCACATTGTAAAAAGCTTTCTATATAATCAAAACAGATTTTATATATATATATATATATATATATATATATACTAGAAACCAGATCCCAAACACATTACTCGTCGTGGTCGATTTCTTCTTCATCAATGTATTATAATTCTTAATATTATAATTATTCTCTGGGTCCTGAACCATGCCACATAAGAGGATACATTTTAAAATGGATCCTTAATTAGTCCAAAACCTGGTGGAACATTACCCCAGGTATGAGGCACGCGAAAAGATTCATAGAAGGACCATCCCCAAAATTTACAAAAGAATTACTGGAAGGCAACCGCAACCGGACCAGGATTCTGGTTGGACTCCTGACCTTGCCACTTAAGAAAGCACATGCACCGGATAGTCGTACAGACAGATGAAACACTGCGCAGATACTGCAAGGAAGAGGAGAATACCGCAAAACACATTTTATGTTTTTGCGAAGGTTGATGCAGGTTCTTGCAACAAGGGCAAGAAAAACCAAAGCAAGATCCTACAACAACAAGCCGCTGTCAAAGCTGTGGAGACTGATTAACAACCTTTAGCTGGCCAGTGAGTTATAAATAACAAGGGAGCACAATAGATCTGTTCAGGTCGAGGTGCAGAAATCCTTATCCCTATAATTAAGTGTTATAAAAATTATATGAAATTTTTTAATATTTAGTTAAAATAATGAACTTAGCAGGACTGTTCTAGGATGTTTTAGTTTCTTGAAAAATTTCTTATAGACATGAACGAATGTACTTGGGTCTTTTGCTGTAACTTCTATCACAACAAAAACCTAACTGTGAAAAAAGGGCCAAATTCCCCCCTTCCAAAAAAAAAAAATTAGCTTATCAATGTAATGATATCTACACTGTGGCCAAGTCCGTTCTTTTTTAGTCCTTAACATCATCCTCCTTACATTGATAATCTAATATTTTTGGAGGTGGTCTGGAACTTGGCCCTTTTTTTGCAGTGAGGTTTTTGTTGGATTATCATACTTTTTGATCGCTTTAGCATCGTGGACGTCCTCTTGGTTTTTTTTCAAAGCACAGGAGCGATTATGTATGTCGTAGATTTTATCTTATAAGATCGTTTGGGCCTCTGCTGAGGTGTTAAGAGGTGGGCGATGCTACTTCTATTTATATTGTATTTTTAATAAGTAGGCATTTTCAATAAATCAGCTCGTACAGATCATAGATGTGTTTACAATTTATTATATGTATTTTTAGTTTTCATTAAATACGATTTTAAAAAAAAATCACTCCCGGGGCCGTTTGGGCCACCAAAACCTAAATCTAATCAAGCAATTGAACTCACAAAAATTTGAACTTGGAATGAAATGAATTGTAATGAAAGTTAATTTTTTGTTTTAAATCGTAGGATGCGTGTGACCACGCGTTTAGAACTACCATCCTAGTGAAGTATACTTCACTAAAGCTCTCCGTGGCCATTTCATTTGTCGCCGAGAATCAAATAGATTACACGACATTTGAAAAATGGCAAAAAGAAGGGAGAATTCAAAAGGTGTGGTTGAGATGGGAAGTTAGTGCCTAGTGATCCACCCGAGTGGATCGAAGTCACGATAGCTTAAATGGTAGAGTAGCGGCGTATCAAGCCGAAGGTCGTAGGTTCGAATCCCGCTCGTGACACTGTCATTTTTATCTCAACTAAAAACCTTAATTAATTGAATGATATTAATTGGTCAAGCGGAGCACGAAAAATAGTGATTTTCGATTTTTATTGAGATCATCTTCAAAGCTCAAAGTGTTTATTTTCAGTGTAGATGTGTTGTCTGTCGTGTTGGGCACTCTCAACATTTTGTAGCATTGTAGAAATTCTTTTTTTTCTTCACATCCTACATTTATTTGTAAAATTTAAACAATGTTTATAAATACCTGAAGATGATATCAATAAAGATCGAAACGTTGGCACGATAAAGAAAATGTTTTTCTAAAACCTACGTCACACCAGACCGCATCTCACGACCTCCAAATAATCAGTTTTAAGAAAGTTGCAATTTTCCGATTTTTCCCTTTACTTCCAATATAAATCAATCTTTTTACCAAATTTGATGTTTCTATCTATACAGGAAGTGCCTTATACGACAATTTTGATGAAAATAGTAAACTCTCATCGGTGGCCGAAACGGTTTATGCGTTGACACGGCGCTCTCACTATAAGGTAAAAGCAGGGCCGCTGGATTCGAACCCGACATACTTCCGGCACCCTGAGGGTTTATATTACCCCCTGGTGTTACATACCCTCGTAAAAATAAGTAAACCCTCTCCTCTAAAGTGGCACTAATATTGAGAAAATTGCAATTTTCAAATTCTTACCTTTTTTTTACAATATAAGACCTGCATTTGTACCCAAATATCACATTTCTATTTACACGGGAAATGCCTTATAATTTTTTGATAATGAGACTACCCCCTAAAGTGGGCTTAATTTGGGGAAAATTGCAAGTTTCACTTTCTTGCTGTTTTTTTACAATATAAGACCTACGCTTGTAAACATATATTTCTACCTGTACGGGAAGTGCCATATAATTTTGAAGGTGAGACTACACTCTCCCCCACTAAGGCTGAATTAATTTTTAGAAAATTGCAATTTTCAGATCGCTTATAATTTTGATGGTGAGCGCCACTGATTTCGAGAAAATTGGAAATATCAGATTTTTAAGATTTTTTCCTTTACTTGCTATATACAACATACCTTTCAAAAAATTTTACGTCTCTAGCTATTCGGGATGTACGTTATAATTATGCGCCCCCCCCCCAATGCGGCACCAATTTTGTGAAAATTAGAAATTTCAGATTTTTTCTTTTACTTGCTATATATATANATAATATTATAATATATATATGAACGAATTTTTCGTTTCTAGTTATTCGGGAAGTGTTTTATAATTTTGATGGTGAGACTACGCCCCCCTCCCAAAAGTGGCACTTTTTTGAGAAAATTGCAAATTTTTCCTTTTTATGCTATATACAACCTACCTTTTAAATAAGCTTACGTTTCTAGCTATTCGGGAAGTAGAATTTTGAATATAAGTGAGTCAGTCAGTAATAAACCAGTAAATTTTGAAATTATCTCCTTTCGAAAAGGCTTAATTTTTTACAATGTCCTAAGCGACCTAAGATTAATTTAGGCTTCATATTTCAAAGGCCTATCAAGCAGGAAGCAAAGATATGAGGGTGAGAAAAACCGGGTGAATTGGTTCGTGTAAAGATACACATAGCGGCTTGCTGGAACTGTCTTGCGCTCAGATTTCTGTAAAAAAAACTAAAATAATGAAAGGGAATTCTTTAGCTACAATCTTGTGAGATTGCTCAACCTTTTTTTCATGGACTGATCAAGTTGAACTTAAAAGCATGTTTGTCGAATGATCTTCCCTGTATAAAATTCCTCGTGCAATCAAGCTTTGATGACCGGGGGAAATCCCTTTTTTCCTCGATGGGTTTGCATTCCCCTGGGATCCAGGTAGATCGTACCGCCAACACCATATCACACCCCTCTACTTGCCGCTCACCGAGAGGGGGCACCTCAACTTTCCATATTAACAGACTGACCGTCGGACTATCATAGTCGTTTTTGACCTCCAGGGATACGTTAACGACCCTCCTGGGCATCGACCAAAACACATTTCACACAATTCCTGTAGAAATTTTTGGATTAAACTTTTTCCATTGTGTATATATGTAAGTAGTCGCATTTTATACTAAAAACATTAAGTTTACAAAAACACTGAAAAGTTAGTTTTAAATAATCGGAGGGTGGTTCAATACATTTCGTTTGTTCCTCGTTCTTTAATCAAACAATGTAATAAAAAAAATATTGTCAGCATTTGTTCAGTAGTGGTTCATCTGCTGAAAGTGTGTCATCCTATCAATAACATCACATCGCTTATATTAGTTTCGTTGGATTATTTCATTTTCTACAATGTTGTTGAGGACGAATTTTATCCCGGTTCATGGTGCAGGGATTTAATGATATTAATAATAACATGAAAAATTTGGGGACTTTTAATATAAAAACGTAAGCACATAGACACAACTATTGAAAAAAATGAATATTTAGATTCTACATATTGGTTTAAAAAATAATGGAAATTTTGGTTTCAATAAAATAACATGTAAATATAATTCTTATAAATTAAGATACTATTACTGACTGAGTTAAAATGATATAGGCTTTGTTGCTTTAAAAATGAACCAAAAATTACTGCAGATGGAGATATCGAATATTATGATGATTTGTACTGATACAAATGTTTTCAAGTCGTGAATGATCTATTTTGATTTTTACCATTTTTTTAATGAACTTAATTTTTGAAAAAAATAATTTAAACTTTACCGTTTCAATTTACAAATAATCCCTGAAAAATCTGATCCAAAGTATGTCAATTATTTAACTGAACACGTTTTGTTGGGACCTTTATATTCTATATAAATGAAAATAAAAATGGTCCCGTTACCTGAGTCCTTGAAAGTTAAAAATATTTATTTCCGTATTAAAAAAAATTAACCATGAAAGGAATGCGCTGAGAATGTGATTAAAATCGAAATTTGAATTTCCTGGGTTTACTTTTTGCTATGAGACAGGAAATTTTTTTCCCTCGTGTAATGACATTGTGAATTGGCATTTTTAATGTTTGAGTAAAAAACGCCTGGAAATTAACGAACGGTCATATTCGAGGACTGCAAACTTCGAACGAATGAATAATTCAAAGGCGGTAAACTAAAACTCAGGGAAAAGAAAACATTTTAAAATTAACTAAACAAAACGAGTGAAAAAGACGACTTTTCTACAAGGCTGAAGACTGACGACATTGGAAGATCGATGTAGAACTGTTTTTGTTTTGATTGACATAGCCGATGCAGCAAAAATCGAAAGTTCGTTGATCTCCTTTTCCGTCAGTATTTTGCAATTCTTCACGACGGATCAAGGTTGAAAATTTCGCCTTTGAAAAAACGGGAAAAACCATTTTCAACAGTACATTACAATAAACTAATATGGCAAATTATAAAGATTCGCTGAATCACACAGGATTCGCTGTGAGGAATATTTCAATCCTTAAGAATTTAAGGTCTACAGGAGTTTCGTGTTTTTGAACTGTAGATATACAAGGTCCTTGTATAAAAATGCGTCCTATCAGTTGAATTAATGCAAATCGATTGAAAGAAGAGAAGAATACAAAAGGCACCATTGCCTCCTCCTTCGAGGCTGAGAGCAGGATGCCATTCTCTAATCGTTTATCCTTTTCACTATTTTTTCTCCCATTATTTTCCATTCCTTCAAAGTGCCAGATTCTTCTTTTTTTACATATCAGGGAGTAAATATTGAAAGAAAAGAAGTACGTTGTCTTTCGTTCCGCGTGGTTTTACACGCTTTGCACAATTCCGTATAGTCAGTTTTGGTTTTAGCACACACTTACTTTGATAAAATATAAGTTCGTAAGAACTCATTATTTTATCACTAATAAAGGACTTACAGCCGTCCTCTCTTAAATAGTAATATGTAAGATATTATTTACTATTACTAATGTTGAAACACAAAAATCCATGTTATTTCCAGTGTGGGCGGTTTAATTGTTTTAAATCTTTAATATCTGTACATACTATCCACAAAACCTTGAACTTTAAGGGAAAATTGAACAATTTATTGTAAATTTATCATAAAAGCGCGCAAAATTAGGTCTCATGGACTTTCTTACATATAACGAGCATTCGTACATACAAGTAAAGTTCACATAATTCAAAATACGTATGATACAAATATAATTCTTTTACTGTCTAAATTATTTTTAATAATGTTGATGTACAGAGCATGATTGAACATAATCTAATTTTAAAAAGCAAGAAACAAATTTATTAGAAATATGTTTAGATTTACATGATGTTAAAACCTTAAGAGAGAGAGCGTGAGAGAGAGAGAGAGAGAGAGAGAGAGAGAGAGAGAGAGAGAGAGAGAGAGAGAGNTAGAAAGATAAAAATACATAGATAGAAAGGTAGGAATAGAGAGAGAGAGAGAGAGAGAGAATGAGAGAGTGAGAGAGAGAGTGAGAAAGAGAGTGGGAGAGAGAGAGATAGAGAGATAGAGAGAGAGAGAGAGCAGTGAGAGAGAAAGTGATATCTTTTTTCTGTAGAATCCTTAGGTTTTTATATATTTTTTACATGAGTACTTCGTAGGGAGTTTTGTGTATGTGTGTGAGAGAGAGAGAGAGAGAGAGAGAGAGAGAGAGAGAGAGAGAGAGAGAGAGAGAGAGAATAAGAATAATACCACTTAACGTGAATAATACGTTTTACATCACATCATTACATATCATCTTTTTTACGTAGAATCGTTTGGTTTTTACAATATTGTTTTACAAGAGTACTTCGTAAGGATGAGCATCAATAGAAAAACATCGATGATCACCAACGATAATCATAGGAACTTCACCATCGATAATGGTACACCCACGATACGGTTTTTAAGTACTCATTACTCAAACCACATAAAATATTTTCATGTGCATTAATTTTTTAATTAATTTAAAAAAGTCACCATTTCTGATCCTTTGTTAGAAATTCTTTTAATAAAAGTCATGTATTAGTATTTTAATTACATTTATCAGGAATTAATTTTGATTTGTATTGCGTCTGGATCTGTTTATTGTTATATAAATATAGATCTCTCGGTTTAAAAATTTGCCTTAAAAATATGGATTTTTTGAAATAAAAGACTTCCATTGTTAAAGTATTATGTGCCTGTGAATTTTATTCATAATTCATCCCTGTTTTTCCTTCGCCCGACGTTATTTTGGACCCCAACCATGATAAAAAAATATTGGTACAGAAACATCGATGTTGAAAACGTCGAACATCAGCTGCCTACCATCGATGTTTTCTAAACGATGCTCATCCTTAGTACTTCGTGAATAAATGCACAATTTAACAATGTAAAATTAGGTATATTTCTAACTTAGAACAATGAATCGTCGTGCTACTAAACATTTAACAATCGTAACATGATTATACAAAACTTAATTTGGGATAGTTGTATTCTTGCAGATAATCTAACCTAAATCTAGTTAAGTAGACCCTTTTGGTGGGTGAGTCTTGTTATAAAAATGAGCTTATTTGAGGCGCGTAAGTTAAAATTTTTGAGAATCATGTGCTTCTAAACTTGCTAAATTATAAATTCATTGCTGAGCCAAAAAAGCAGATTTGGTAATTAAAAATAACGAGGAAGGGAACCAAGGACTATGTGACAAAAACAGAACTGACGTCCTAAAGGTCATGGCCTTGGTCAAAAAATTAAATTATATATCAATTTTGGTGCAGAGTAAGTATTAAATAAGTTTAAAATAAATAAAATTAACTAAATATTCAATATATTATTGACCTATGAATATGCAAACTGTATATCAAAATACATATTTTTGGGTTAAAAAAATCGAAAAAAAGATGTACCCTCGAAAACGGCTTAAGTTATACCTGCAACATTATAAAAACACATTCAGAAATCAAAGATAATAAATACAATAGAATTTATGGCCAAGTTTAAACATGCTCAATTTTGGTACAGAGTAAATAGAGTGACAGAGAGAGAGAGAGATAGAGAGAGAGAGAGAGAGAGAGAGAGAGAGAGAGAGAGAGAGTGAGAGAGAGAGTGTGAGAGAGAGATATATAGAGAGAGAGAGAAAGTGATATCTTGTTTTATGTAGAATCCTTAGGTTTTTAAATATTTTTTACATGAGTACTTCGTAGGGAGTTTTGTGTGAGTGTGTGGGTGTGTGTGTGAGAGAGAGAGAGAGAGAGAGAGAGAGAGAGAGAGAAAGAGGGAGAGAGAGATAGTGAGAGAAAGTGTTATCTTTTTTATGTAGAATCCTTAGGTTTTTAAATATTTTTTACATGAGTACTTCGTAGGGAGTGTGTGTGAGAGAAAGAGAGGCAAGTTAAAACAACCTGCCATATAATAAAAACACGTTCAAAAGTTTTAAAGATATAAATTCAATAGAATTTATGACTACTTTTAAACCGACGCACGTAAGGCAATCCCTTGGCGGTTAAAGTCATAGCCAGACGGCCGGAGTACGTTTCACATTCGATAAAGAGTTGTTCAGCAACATTGAATTCTCAAGGTTCAGCTATTTTGCAAGCATTAATCAGCTCAATTTCTAAACTTCCAAAAAAGTGTTTCAAGGTTTACAACAGTTGTGGAAATTTCGTTGCATCAAAATACTTACTAGGCTTTATTACATTTATTTACTGTTTAGTGGTCAATTAGTTGTTTTTAATTAAAAAATTGGAGACCAAAGAATCAACACACAATTACCTAACTAGACAATAATAAACAGTCTTTAAAAACATACCTAAACGAGATTTATGACCAAAAGTATAACAAGGGGTCGAAAACAGGTTTATTTAAAATTCAAGTTGTCTAAATTTTGGTCAATATGCAAAATTCTTTTATGCTTCATTAGTTTCATTATATATTTAAACCCCACGGATAAATTTGACAAACATTAATCGATTATGAAAAGTTTTTTAAGAACCAGGTATCAAGTATTAGAAAGTTCTTTTCGGCACCATTACTGTCCTTAATTTAAGTTAATGTAGTTTTCTAGAGTCCGTGATTTTTTTAGGCTGACCAACACCGATAACTATCTTGCCTTTCGCATTGGGCAACCTTAGTTTAAAAACTGTGTAATGGC